TTATATATACTATATATTGATATATATATAACACCCATCGGAAGTAACAGGTTTTGTACTGATCAGGTATAGCGTCAGTTTTTTTTTTTGCCATTTTTTTCATTTGGTCCGAAGAATCTTTCTTGCTCTTTTACATTGGCTCCGAGGTATCCTTTATGCATTTGTTTCAGATTATATGCAAATGCAATCAATATTTTATATATATATAAAGACTAAATTATTCAGGAAATATATGTTACTTAAAAGTTTCGATGTATAATTCGATATAGTTATGCTTTGAATTTGTTTTTACAGAGATAAATTACGCTATACTACTGACATTAATATAATAATATAAATAAACGAAATTTAAGAGAGATTCATAAACATTACATTATGGAAAATTTCATAATGAACCATAACTTTGAAAGTGCATTTTAAATTAATTTAAATTCATAAACTTAATTTAAATGCAATACTATACAAATATGCGCAAACTCACGACGCGCTTAATGGGGTCCTTTAGTCGACACCTAAAGTAAGTTTCAAAACCTTAATAATTAAATATTTTATTAAAAGATTATTTATTTCTATTTCGAATCTTAATAATTTTCTATTATTTTATCATAATTCGCTTAATCAACTAAATTTTGGAAACCTAATTTATTTTTCATACTAAAAGTATGGACCAATTTCTTCTAAACCTAATATAATAATTAACTTTAATACATTTTCGGAATTATGTTGAGAAAATTAAAAAAAATTGCAAAATTCTTAAAAAATAAAATTTAATTTTAGAATATTCGTAGGATTTCATAGAAACATTTTTGTGAAGCTCTTAAAAAATTTCATTATTTAGGAAAACTTAATTTTCAACTCTCAAGAATATTTTGGGAAAAACATGTTTTAGGTTCAAAACATGTTTTAATATTACTAACATCCTTTTAGATTCCCTAAAGAGATTAAAAGTCTTTCTCTACCTAAAAATTTCTCTCTAAAAAATTATTGAGAAAGAGAGAAGATTTTAATTACTATCATACCTTGGACTCTTCTTTTGTCCTTCTCCTAAGATTTCACAACTTTGGATAGGAACGCGAGCCCAAAGCCCAGTGAAGCCCTCATCACTCACGCCGTCCTTTTCGTTGGTTGGATACATGAAATAGAAGGGATGAATTTTTTCGGTCCTAAAGGAGTTAGGTGATTAGTGATATTCGCAAAAGACCATTTTGCTCTTTCTGCCTTAAATTCCATTATATTATGAAGGGGTATGTTAGGTATTATGAAGCTTCTAACATTTTTACTTAATTTGAATGTAGACAAGGGGGGTCAACACAGTCGCAAAATAAATCAATTGGCTTCCGTATTCTTGAGTCTAGTAGTTTTCCATATTTGAGCTATAATTTTTAGTTATTTATGACGAACTTTAGTTCATTTTTGACTAGGGGTGCTCTATGAGCTAACATTTTAGTTCATCTATTATCT